TGAGCAAGGGCCTAGTAACCCCTTCTCTTGTATAAATTGCTAAATTTAAAAAGAGAAGCTTTCGTTTTTCTTTTTGGGCCACCCTGCCTTGGTAGGATGCGGCCGGTTTGTTGAAAAAAATAAATAATAATAATACGTACAATAATAATGTACAATATAACAATAATTATAATAATAGACGGCTTCAAAAGGCTGTCACTAGATGGCAGTGTTTACCACAACAATGCTGGAGTGGTTAAGGCCGCCTCCACTTGTCTCATAATGACATACGTATTTTATTCATTCAAGAGTATATATAAGGTTTCTATGTTATATACAGTGGACCCTCGACCAACGATGGCATCGATTAACGATAAATCTGACCAGCGATACATTTTAACGCAAAAATTTTGCCTCGACTAGCGCTTAAAAACCCGACCAGCGCTATTCGTTCTGTACCATACTTAGGCCTGAGCGCGCCTCACTTGTCCCTTTGGTGCCAGTGTTTACAAGCCAGCCAGCCACCGCGGTCGCTTCCAAACATACAACTGGAACATTTCATATTATCACAGCCTTTTTAGTGATTGCACCTGCAAAATAAGTCACCATGGGCCCCAAGAAAGCTTCTAGTGCCAACCCTACAGCAAAAAGGGTGAGAATTACTATGGAGATGAAGAAAGAGATCATTGATAAATATGAAAGTGGAGTGCGTATCTCTGAGCTGGTCAGGTTGTATAATAAACCCCAATCAACCATCGCTACTATTGTGGGCAAGAAAACGGCAATCAAGGAAGCTGTTCTTGCCAAAGGTGCAACTATGTTTTCAAAACTGAGATCGCAAGTAATAGAAGATGTTGAGAGACTTTTATTGATGTGGATAAATGAGAAACAGATAGCAGGAGACAGCATCTCTCAAGCGATCATATGTGAAAAGGCTAGGAAGTTGCATGACGATTTAATTAGAAAAATGCCAGCAACTAGTGATGTGAGTGAATTTAAGGCCAGCAAAGGTTGGTTTGAGAGATTTAAGAAGCGTAGTGGCATTCATAGTGTGATAAGGCATGGTGAGGCTGCCAGTTCGGACCACAAATCGGCTGAAAAATATGTGCAGGACTTCAAGGAGTACATAGACAGTGAAGGACTGAAACCTGAACAAGTGTTTAATTGTGACGAAACAGGCCTGTTTTGGAAGAAAATGCCAAGCAGGACGTACATTACTCAGGAGGAAAAGGCACTCCCAGGACATAAGCCTATGAAAGACAGGCTTACTCTGTTGATGTGTGCCAATGCTAGTGGTGATTGCAAAGTGAAGCCTTTATTGGTGTATCACTCTGAAACTCCCAGTGTTCAGGAAAAACAATGTCCTCAAGGCTAATTTGTGTGTGCTGTGGAGGGCAAACAGTAAGGCATGGGTCACTAGGGACTTTTTCTATGACTGGTTACATCATGCATTTGCCCCCAATGTGAAAAATTACCTAATTGAAAAGAAATTAGACCTTAAGTGCCTCCTGGTATTAGACAATGCTCCTGGTCATCCTTCAGACTTGGCAGAGCAACTTTCTAGGGACATGAGCTTCATTAAGAACATAAGAACGTAAGAAAGGAGGAACACTGCAGCAGGCCTGTTGGCCCATACTAGGCAGGTCCTTTACAATTCATCCCACTAACAAACATTTGACCAACCCAATTTTCAATGCTACTCAAGAAATAAGCTCTGATGTGCAAGTCCCACTCAAATCCAACCCCTCCCACTCATGTACTTATCCAACATAGCCTCAATAACCCAACTAGGTAGACTGTTCCACTCATCAACTACCCTATTTCCAAACCAATACTTTCCTATGTCCTTTCTAAATCTAAACTTATCTAATTTAAATCCATTACTGCGGGTTCTCTCTTGGAGAGATATCCTCAAGACCTTGTTAATATCCCCTTTATTAATACCTATCTTCCACTTATACACTTCGATCAGGTCTCCCCTCATTCTTCGTCTAACAAGTGAATGTAACTTAAGAGTCTTCAATCTTTCTTCATAAGGAAGATTTCTAATGCTATGCATTAATTTAGTCATCCTACGCTGAATGTTTTCTAACGAATTTATGTCCATTCTGTAATATGGAGACCAGAATTGAGCTGCATAATCTAGGTGAGGCCTTACTAATGATGTATAAAGCTGCAGTATGACCTCTGGACTTCTGTTGCTTACACTTCTTGATATAAATCCCAGTAATCTATTTTCCTTATTACGTACGTTTAGCATTGCTGTCTTGGTTTAAGTTGCTGCTTACCATAACCCCCAAGTCCTTTTCGCAATCTGTATGGCTAAGTTCTACATTATTTAACTTATAAGTGTTAGGGTTATGGACACTCCCGAGCTTCAGAACCTTGCATTTATCTACATTGAACTGCATCTGCCACTTTTCTGACCAAGAGTAGAGTTTGTCTAAATCCTCCTGAAGTTCCCTAACATCTACGTTTGAATCAATTATCCTACCTATCTTCGTGTCATCGGCGAATTTGCTCATATCACTAGTAATTCCTTCATCAAGATCATTGATATAATATTATAAACAACAACGGGCCCAAGACTGATCCCTGTGGAACGCCACTTGTTACTGATCCCCACTCAGATTTAACCCCATTTATGGACACTCTCTGCTTCCTGTCTGTGAGCCATGATTCGATCCACGAGAGCACCCTTCCTCCAATGCCATGAGCTGCTACTTTCTTCAACAGTCTTTGGTGCGGAACTCTATCAAATGCCTTACTAAAATCTAAGTAAATAATATCAAATTCTTTATTGTGGTCAACAGCCTCAAAAGCTTTACTGAAGAAAGTTAATAAATTAGTTAGACAAGACCGGCCTCTTGTGAATCCATGTGGTATCATTAATCAAGCTATGCTTATCGAGATGGCTTCTTATAATCTGAGCTATAATTGACTCTAGTAATTTGCCTACAATTGAGGTCAGGCTTATTGGGCGGTAATTTGACGGTAACGACTTGCCCCCTGTTTTAAAAATAGGAATTACATTAGCCATCTTCCACATATCAGACACTACACCTGTTTGAAGAGATAAATTAAAAATATTAGTTAATGGTTCACAGACTTCCATTTTGCATTCCTTTAGAACCCTTGAAAAAACCTCATCAGGACCCGGTGACTTATTTTGCTTCAGTCGGTCTATCTGCTTCACAACCATTTCACTAGTGACTGTGATGTTACTTAATTTATCTTCTTCTGGCCCACTATAAAAATTAATTACCGGAATATTATTAGCGTCTTCCTGTGTAAAAACAGAGAGAAAATAATTATTTAAAATCGAGCACATTTCATTCTCTTTGTCAGTAAGATGCCCATAGTTATTTTTAAGGGGACCTATCTTATCTCTGACTTTTGTTTTATATACCTGGAAAAAACTTTTTGGGTTGAAAAAACTTTTTCAACCCAAGTTTTTGCCTCCTAATACAACTCCTCTCCTGCAGCCCATGGACCAGCAGGTTATTTCGAACTTCAAGAAACTGTACACAAAAGCTATGTTTGAAAGGTGCTTTGTAGTGACCTCAGAAACTCAACTGATTCTAAGAGAGTTTTGGAAAGATCATTTTACCATCCTCAATTGTGTAAACATTATACGTAAGGCTTGGGAGGAAGTGACTAAGAGGACATTGAACTCTGCTTGGAAAAAACTGTGGCCAGAATGTGTAGACAAAAGGGATTTTGAAGGGTTTGAGGCTAACCCTGAGAATCCTATGCCAGTTGAGGAATCCATTGTGGCATTGGGGAAGTCCTTGGGGTTGGAGGTTAGTGGGGAGGATGTGGAAGAGTTGGTGGTGGAGGACAGTGAAGAACTAACCACTGATGAGCTGCTAGATCATCTTCAACAGCAAGAGGGCACACCTGAGGAAACTGCTTCAGAGGAGGGGAGAGAAATTGAAGAAGTTGCCTACTTCTAAGATAAAGGAAATGTGTGGAAAGTGGCTTGAAGTGCAAACCTTTTTTGATGAAAATCACCCTGACACAGCTACTGCAAGCCGTGCTGGTGACTATTACACTGACACTGTTGTGAACCACTTTAGGAAAGTCATAAAGGAACGAGAGGTACAGGCCTCTATGGACAGATATGTTGTGCGACAGAAGTCCAGTGACTCTGAAGCTGGTCCTAGTGGCATTAAAAGAACAAGGGAAGTAACCCCAGAAAAAGACTTGCTGCCTCAAGTGCTAATGGAAAGGGATTCCCCTTCTAAACACTAACACCTCTCCCCTCCTCCCATCCCATCAATCATCACCGGATCTTCAATAAAGGTAAGTGTCATGTAACTGTGCATGTAATCTTCAGTTTGTGTGTATTAAAATTAATATTTCATGTGGTAAAATTTTTTTTTTTCAATACTTTTGGGTGTCTTGCACGGATTAATTTGATTTCCATTATTTCTTATGGGGAAAATTAACTTGACTAACGATAATTCTGACTAACGATGAGCTCTCAGGAACGGATTAATATCGCTGGTTGAGGGTCCACTGTATATTGTTTATTATGTCATATTAGATGAATTGTGATAGATAAATAAGCCATAGAGTTGATGATAGCGAAATATTCAAGGAGTATTTTGTCTTGTCTCCAGGCAAACTCTCGTCGCCACATATATAATGACGTATTTTATTCACTCTAGAGTATACATCAGGTTTCTATGTTATTTATATTGTTTATGTCATATTAGATGAATTGTGATAGATATACATATAAGGTGCAGAGTTGATATTAGGGAAATTACTGAAGTATTTTATGGTGCTTGGAATTCCACTGGAATGAGTTAATTCCATTTCAATTAATTTAAATGAGGAAAATTGACTCTGCAAATGAGCAAATCCAGATGCGAGCAAGGTCACGGAACAGATTAAACTCGTTAGTGGAGGTTCCACTGTATTTGTATTTTTGTGTCTTTTTTCAACTACCTGTCCATATCATATACCATTTTTACCAGTAGAGAGAATTAACAAATAAAAAGCATTTTACCTACCTAACACCACCACCATCAATTGTCAGCAGTCGCACACCATGAGCTTTAACAGGTGATATGTAGCCTAGCAAGGCTAGAGCTTCACGAGCCTCACATTCAACAAATCGGTCGTTTGTCTTCTCTAAAATTCTCAGCAATCGTTGAATACTCCCTCTCTGAAAAACAGGAACAGTTCTATAGAAATAATGCCTACAACAATTAGAATTACCTCTGCTAAGAGATTTACATGATTCTGATCATTATAAAACCTCTCCTCATGACAGAGTTCTGTTCCTAAGACCACGTCAGTAAACAAATTTGTTGCTAAGCAAGAAGCATACTATAATGGTAGTGGGTTTGTCAATCATCTTTGATATTGTTTTAATGTCACTTTTGCACCATTTAACCTTAAACTGTCCAAACAGATCTATGTTCACATGCGTAGTACTCCAAAAGTAGATCTACATTTTTTTACATATTTTCAAATATATGTACGTACAACAAAAAAAAAAACGTAGATCCAAGTTTTTTTACACGTTTTCAAATGCAAAAAAAAAAAAAAGAAGATCTACGTTTTTTTACATACAGTGGTCCCTCGATAATCGTTGGGCTCGATAGTCGTCCTTTTCGAAAATCGTCGTGTTATTTTTGTCCAAACACTGGCTCGCAAATGGTCGGTTGACTCGCTAATCGTCGTTCGTCCTGGACGCGTACTCATGGCTCTGAGCCGCCTCGGCCTCCCTTCCCAGCCAGTGTGCCATTGTTTACCAGTGAGCGGCAGTCCCCTCACTTGTTCATACGAAATATTTCATAATAGTATTCCATTCATTTTAGTGCTTGCAAGTGCTAAATAAGCTACCATGGCTCCAAAGAAAGCTCCTAGTGCCAAGCTTTTGGTAAAGAAGGTGAGAAATACGATTGAATTTAAGAAAAACTTCATTGAACAACATGAGTGGGTGTGGGTGGGTGTGAGTTGGACCTGATTAGCTTGTGCTACCAGGTCGGTTGCCGTGTTCCTCCCTTAAGTCAATGTGACCTGACCTGACTAGGTTGGGTGCATTGGCTTAAGCCGGTAGGAGACTTGGATCTGCCTCGCATGGGCCAGTAGGCATGCTGCAGTATTCCTTCGTTCTTATGTTCTTATGAAAGTGGCATACGTGTGGCCGAACTGGCCAGGATGTATAACAAACCCCATACAACCATATCTTCCATTGTGGCAAAGAAAAAGGAAATCAAGGAAGCTGTTGTTGCTTGGAGAAAATTGTGGCTGACCCTGATGAGCCTATGTCAGTTGTGAAATCTATTGTGGCATTGGGGAGTTCCATGGGGTTGGATGTGAGTTTGGAGGATGTGGAAGAGTTGGTGGAGGACCACAATGAAGAGTTAACCACTGAAGAGCTGCAATAGCTTCAGCAGGAACAGCAACAGATCGCAGCTCAGAATCTTGCTGCAGAGGAGGAGGAAGAGAGTTGGAAGAAGGTGCCTTCTTCAGAAATTAAGGAGATTATTGAAATGTGGGATAGGATGGAAAGATTTATGGAGAAACATCACCCTGAGAAGGATATTGCAAGCCATATCGGCAACCTGTACAGTGACAGAGTCTTGGCCCATTTTAGGGAAGTTTTAAAGAGATGCCAGAAGCAGAGCTCCCTGGACACTTTTTTTGCGAGACAGGACTCCAGTGACTCTCAAGCTGGTCCTAGTGGCATTAAGAAACAGAGAAGAGAAGTACGTAACCCCAGAAAAGGACTTGGTTCCTGAGGTGTCGATGGAAGGGGATTTCCCTTCCAAACAGTAACTAATCCAATTTCTCTCCTCCTTCGGTCTTCCATACACTAAGAAGAATCGCCACTAAAGGTAAGTGTTATGCTGTTAATGTTTCATTCATCATGTCCCATTGTATTGTTTATGTACTACATCTATATTTCATGTAAAAAATTTTTTGTTTTAATACTTCTGGGTGTCAGGAACAGATTAATTGTATTTACATTATTTCTTATGGGGAAAACTGATTCGAAAATCGTCTATTTCGATAACTGTCGCACTTCCAGGAACGGATTAACGACGATAAACGAGGGACCACTGCACTTTCAAATGTTGAAAAAACGTAGATATACATTTGGACAGTTTAAGGGTTACAACATTTTTAGTATATTTTTAAATATTTATACAGTAGTGTACTGTATACTGTAATAAACAGAATAGAAGAAATCAGCTCTAATAAATGTTTAATATTTAGGTATGCATACTGGTCAGAGCGCCCATTGTAAGTCCGAGCCATCGCTAAACGAGTACGTCGCTCAGTGATGAAAAGTGGTATTTGTCAAACACTGAATGAATGAACAAGAAAGATTATTATTACAGGTATAGTAAGGTCCTAGACTTACGATGTTCAGCCTTTAGAACAATGGAACTTTGCAAATTAATAACTTATAAACATGGAGTTGTTCTTTCAATGTGTGAAAGTATTTATGTTTGCTGTACTTCTTTTTACAATATTTCTTACAAAATCATTCTAAACAAATTTATAACAATATTAATAAGAACTGACCAAAAAAAAAAAAAAAAAAGAAATATGGGTGTGGAAAATCTAATGAAAATATTTTGAATGAAATCCTATGATCAGTTTTCAATTTAAGAAATCTTGCCCCAAGGAACAGCATGAAATACAAAATATTGGGTCATTTATTTTTTACATATCGCCTGTCTCCCACTGAGGCAGGAGTGACCCAAAAAAGAAAGAAATGCTTTCACCATCATTCAATGCTTTCACCATTATTCACACACAATCACTGTCTTTGCAGAGGCACCCAGATACGACTGTTTAGATGTCACTCCAAACAGCCAATATCCCAAACCCCTCCTTTAAAGTGCAGGCATTGTACTTCCCACCTCCAGGACTCAAGTCCAGCTAACTGGTCTCCCTGAATCCCTTCACAAAATATTACCCCTGCTCACACTCCACCAGCTCCTCAAAACCCAAAAACCATTTGTCTCCATTCACTCCTATCTAACACAAACACATACACACATGCCTGCTATATGTCCAAGCCCCTTGCACACAAAATATCTTTTAGCCCCCTCCTCCATCCTTTTCTAGGATGACCCCTACCCCTTCCTTCCCTCCACTACAGATTTATGCACCCTCCACATCATCCTATTTTGCTCAATGCTCTCTAAATGACCAAATCACTTCAACAACCCCTCTTCAGCCCTCTCCTCATTTAATGAAATACTCATTTACCGACGCCTTGGATTTACAACAGGCTTTCTAACCAGTATGCATACTTAAATAATGTATATTAGAGCTGATTTCCTCTATTCTCTTTATTACAATATACAGTACACTACTGTAAAAGCATTTAAAAATATACCAGAAATTTTATAAATGATGAAAAGGTGATATTAACCCCTTGACTGTCGCAACCCCCAATCCTGAGGTGTCTCCTGGTGTCAAAAAATTTAAAAAAAAAAAAAATATTATTTTTTCTTATGAAATGACAGAGAATCTTTTCCCGATTTCATTGTAACGAAATTTGATGGAAAACTGACGGAATTACGCTCTCGTGAAGTTAGCAACCTTGGTGATATTTACAAATCGGCGATTTCGCCCACTTTGAGCTCTATTTTCGGCTAATTCCATTATTCCAGTCGACCAAACTCATAGCTATTTCTTTAGAACTCCGTTTTTTCTGTCGATTGAGTACAAGAAACTGCCCATTTACCAATTTCAACTACCCAATAACGTGGTTAGAAATTTGCAATTTGGCCAATTTCACGAAAATTAAAAAAAATGACAATTTCAAAATAAGGTCCAGAATGAACAATGCAGACATTCCTGGCTCTAAAATAACATTTTCTTTGTTTATCAATCATGTCTCCAGGCCCCTCTGATATTACTCTTGCTTTCTATTTTGAATTTTTATTCAAACAAAAAATAGAAGATTTACTATTATGCAGACTACTCCAATACTGTAATAATTGTATAAATAACATCAACCCATTCATGACTGCATATTAGAATGGCTAGTTGGACATTTATTGGACAATGATGTCATTTGTTTACTTTTGAACATCGGCAAAAATCAAACATTTCCCCTACTTTGAACTCCATTTCCAGGTTCTTTTTATAGTAAAATCAATCAAAATCATCTCTTTTTCTATAATATGTTTTCCATTCTATCAAATGAGATCAAGAAAACTAGAATACAACAATAAATACTATACAAAAATAGACCACAAATTCGACATTTTAATTAAAAAAAACGGTCGGAGTTTTTTTTTCTCATTATCCACTGTGTGCTCCAGGATTTTTTTTATGTGGTGCACACTGACCACACAGACCCATTCTCTCACATGTAGGCCTACCAGCTTTCTCCTTCTTGATTTGAAGCCACTAGAATTTATGAGTATATATACGTCAAACACGGTACCTCGTAAGACGTATATATACGGCCGCGACAGTCAAAGGGTTAAAACAATGTAAAAAGATGGCTGACACAAACCCACTACCATTATAATGTGCCCCTCATTTAGCAACGAATTTGTTTACCAACGTCGTCTTAGGAATGGAACTCCGTCGTTAAGTGAGGAAAGGCTGTATACTGAAGGCACAAAAATAAATAGGCTCACCTTAACAGCAACTCCTTTAGTCTGTGGGTGTTGTCTAAGGTGGTTACACAGTTCTTCAAGCTTCCTCAAGCGTCCTCCCTCAGTTAAGTGGTCACCAAGACCACTGACTAAAAACCGTGTTCGTGCATCGATGGTTGCCTGAAACAGATTTACAAGAACATTGATGCAGGTTGATTTTACCATTATTGTACCATAGTGTAAAACAATTACAGGTTTCCATTTCAATGAATCTTAATATACAGCCTCTCCTCACTTAACGACGGAGTTCCGTTCCTAAGACCATATCGTTAAACAAATTCGTCGCTAAGTGAGAAGCATACTATAATGGTAGTGAGTTTGTATCACCCATCTTTGATATTGTTTTAATGTCACCTTTGCACCATTTATAACATTTCTAGTATATTTTTAAATGTTTATACAGTAGTGTACTGTACGTATATTGAAATAAATAGAGGAAATCAGCTCTAATATACATTATTTAGGCACGAATACTGGTCAGAGAGCCCGTCATAAGTTCAAGGCGTCGGTAAGCAAGTACGTCGTAAAGTGAGGAGAAGCTGTATAGAGTGAATTGTCACAATACTTCTTTTGCAGATGATAATTACTATTAACAGGAGATTTTGAATAAGGCTGTAGAGGTAGTGGAAGAATTTAGAAAGGAGTGTAGTAGTACTTTGAGAGCAAATGCAAAAAAAAAAAAGCAAGGTAATTCAAATGAAAAAAGCCAGTAAGGGAATGAAATATAGAAACAGACTGTAAGGATAAGAAAAAAGGGAAATGAATTATTTACATTTAACAGTACTTGGGGAATGTAATTTTAACAGCGGGTAACAGTAAATGATGAGAAAATTTTCACAATAACAAAAAAGGAATAAAAATTTGCAGGAGGATAAAAAATTAATGGAAAGAGAGATGTTTTTTCATAAGAAAAAATTTGTTTGTTTTAGGATTTTGATGGGGGGGTTTTTTTTTTTTTAGGGGTAGAGGTGGGGTCTCTGATTTTTCTAGTAAAAAGGATGGGGCGTGGAGATTTTATGTCTGTATCTTTAACAAATGTAGTATAAAATAACACAGAAAATAAGACAAAGAGCAAAAAGTTAGTATTATAAATATATAAACAAGTGAAAAAGGCTTTGCTGAATAGTTCTGCTTGAAAGAATAAAGAAAGGGGTTGATTAAGAGCATATATGAACGGAGCAAATGGAAGAGGGTGTAGGACAATCAAGAAGAAGGTGAAAAGCATTTAAAGGTGGGGGTTTGACCATCCTAAATTTTTGTGTGTTCACAGGACAGGTAAGGTTACTTTCTTGGTGTGATTGATTTGGAAGTAGCAGGGTAACAGCATGAAGGAAACTAAGAAACCATTTAACGGGAATGACACTGAAGGTGGGGAAAAAATATTTGTGACTGAATTCAGGTGAGCTTTTGCATTTTCAGTGGCCTTTACTAACTTTGATGTCGTGCTTTTCGGAAAGGCAACAGCAGAAAAATGTTTTTTTTTTTCTGCGGTCATCCGTGTTTGAGCAAAAGGATGATGTCAAAAAATTTTAAATGGACAACTGGTTAAGCGAAACAAGACAAAATTGTTACAAACCTTTGAAATGACTTTCTTTTTTTCCTTTCCCCTTTGGGTAAATTTTTTTTGTACCCTTGGGGTCCTCGTTTTTTCAAAAAATTTTAAAGGAACTTGTGAAAATACCAAAGGAAAAAAAGATTAAAAGGTTTTTAGTGCTTCTGCATTCAGATAAGTTCCTGTTCATTTTGTAAAAGAATGGGTTAATACAAACACAAGGGGAAAATTATAGTAGGTTTTTAAAATTTTTGACTACCTAAGCTAAGGTGTGCACATTAGGGAAAAAAAATTAGCTTTTTTAAAGATAAAATAAAAATGCCTAATAACCCGAAATAACACAATTCCCCCCATATTAGCAATTTTCTTGTTTATCAACATCAAAATTTCACAGTTTCAAGTAAATATTTTGGGTTAAGATTAAAAATGCAGTGGATGGTACAAAAAACTCAGAAATTTAGATAATGACCCACAGGTTTTAATAATTTTTCTGAATTTCATTTTTAAAATTTTTTCACCCTGGTTTAGGATTGGGCCCCGTTCCAGCTTTCAATAACCTTTTAAAACTTTAAGCACTTAGGAAGGCCTTTTAAAGGGTGCCAAGCACTGTATGCGGGCAATTAGTCCCTAGCTGTACCCGAGACGCCCTGAGTCAAACTCTCCCCCCGATGCCCCAAATTTATTTTTAAACTGAAAAATTATAACTTAAATTTTTTTAAAAAATTAATCTCTTGCAATAAATCCTAAAAAAAAAAATAGTAAAAACTGTTCCTATACATAAAAATTAAGGACCAACGAAAAAACTGATTATAAGGAATAAATTTTTAAAACAAGCAAACAAAAAAATATATAATACAATTTGGAACACCCAGAAAGCACTACAGTATTAAAGAAATTGAAAAAAAACCTTAAGTTAATACTGAATTTTAAGGGTGGAGCATAAACCAGCAGAAGGTTCTCCAAAATTCTAAATGCTCTACGATGGGCACATAGGGAAGTTATCTCTTTTAAAATTTTAAAAACTATTACTGCCTTTTTTCGCACAGGCCCTTTTTATAGTTGACAAACTTTTCCAAAAGCCCGTTTTTTTTCAGTTCTTTCCGTGACCAACTTTGGGGGGTCAAAAACTACATGGAGAGACATTTTTTTTTGGAATTTTTTACAACAATTTCAATGGTAATTCCAATTTTTAAAGGTTTAAATAAACGGGATGTCGAAATTTTGGATAAATTAAATAAAAGGTAGGCCTTGAAGAAATTTTAACCCCTGAATCAACATAAACCCCCTTTGGGGGGGTCGACAGGCCCTCTCAAAACTTTTTCCAGGGGGTCAAATTTAAAAAAAAAAAAAAAATATTTTTTCAAAATGAAAATAGAGAACCCTTTTCCCGATCATAAGCACCAAAAAGAATAATTTTTATGGAAAATTTTCCGGTTTTTATGCTCTTGCGAATTTTAGCGGCCCCGACGATGTTTACCATCGGCGTTTTTTCCCCCACTTTGAGCCCTTTTTTCGGCCAATTCCAGGGGAACAACCCGAAAAAAAAACAAAAACTTTTTTCGCTAAAACCCATTTTTTCTATCGAATGTACAAAAAACCCATAAAATTTACCCGATTTAAACCCCTATCCAAAAAGTGGGCAAAAATTTAGCAATTTTTAAAATTTCCCCACAAAAATTTCAAAAGTCCCCAATTTCCGAATGGGGGCCCCGAATAAACAAAAAAGATATTCCTAGCATAAAAAAAACAAGTTCTCTGTTGTTAGTCACTTTCCCCCAGGCCCCTCTTAATTTTTTTGGCTTTCCCCTTTTGAATTTTTTATTTTTTACAAAAAAAAAAAATTTTAACTGTTAGAAACTACTTTTTTTTGTGTAGAAATAGAAAAAAATAATATCACGCATTTGGGTGAAAGAATATTAACTCGCCCAGTTGAGGGTGAAATTGGGGACACTTGGCAGGGATTGTTTACTTTTGAATTTTGGTAAAAATAAAAACATTTCTGTTTATTTTTAGCTAAATTTCAAGGTACTTTTCATTGAAAAAAACCCAGTAAAAATCATCCAATTTCCTGTAATATATCTTCCATTCTATAAAATGAGACCAAAAAAACCCGCAAAACAACAATAAAAAACCAAAACGAAAATACAGTGAAAAATCGCTGTTTAACCCAAAAAACCAGGGTCAAACTTTTTTTTTCTCTTTAAACCACGTGTCGGGAATTTTTTTTTTTATACTGTCACACTGACCCATAAAAACATTTTTAACATATGTGGGGGCCTACCGCCTTCCCTCACTAGTTTTTAGGGCGCTAAATTTGGGCAAACAATTTACGCCCAAAAACCCTGGGTTGTAAATGTACAGTACTAGAAAGTCCAAAAAACCCCCCAAAGGGGTTAAAATCAGCACGGTATACCGACAAAAACCAAACACAATTCTTCAATTAGCTCAATTTAACAAAGTACTGTACGTAATCCATTATTTGATGGGGCCAAAGTAATCATTTGTACCCCCCTAAATTTAATTTTTGGGGTTTAAATAATCAGGGAAACAAAGATGACCATAGAATCATTCGGGGTAAAATAATGACCCATATTAATCATTTGTAGAAAAGTCCCGGGGTTTCCCCTGAAACGTAAATTTTCTCAACATTTTTTCCCCTTTTTTTGCTACTTTTCAATAATCATATAAATTCCATAAACCCCTTATATGCCCTTAAACTTTTTAATTTCTTTAATTATATTCAGAGGGGAACCCCAAAAACACAAAAGGGGATATATAAACCCTTTGGAAATGGGAGGATTATGAATCAATTAAAGAAAAAAAGGGTTTCGTTACTTGGATCAAAGCTCCCCACCAGCATCAAGGTCCCTTTAAAAGAAATTAAAAACACTTTTAAATACTACAGTGCCCCTTACTTCGAATTTTTAAAAGTTCTCTCTGATAAGAAGCACATAAAAAATAACTGTATGCATGGGGGGGGGGGCTTTTGGGAGGGTTTAAAATTTTGGTCCTCCAGTTGGGGTTTGCGGGGTTTTTTACCAAAACAACCCCCACCCAAATTTTGGGGCTGGTTGTAAAAATAAACTAATTGAAAAGCTATGGACGAATAAATTTTTTTTAAGGGCCTCTAAAATGCAAGGACTACAATTTGAGCCCCCAAACCCAATCATCTTTTTTAAAAGTGACCTTTTTTCCAATTTCTTGAAACACTTCATTTCCAAAAAAAGGCACCAAAGTGCAAAAAATTTAATTTTCCCTACCTACCTTTTTCGGAAAACAAGTATGCTATACTTTTTTTTTGTAGCAAAGGGCCTAAATAAGAAAATTCCAAATATACCCTAGTTCGGTCAGAAAAAATCCTTCACTGATAAAAAAAAAGGCTGTTTTCGGGCCCAGAGGGCCTTTCAAGAGCAAATAAATCTATTGTTTAAATTTGGCTTATATGCCAGTCTATGGTTTCCCTTTTAATAGGGTTTAAGTTTAAAATGTGTTTTTTTTCCTAAGTTACATCCTTTCCCAAGGGGGAAGGGGGGTCCTTAAATGCTAATAAAAGGCCTTCCTTCCAAGGAATTGAGGTTATCCCCTCTATCTCAGATTAAACCTGTTTCCCCTCCTTTTCCCCACCCTT